ATTATTTGTCTATGGCAGTAGTTTTTAACCTTCCTAATACTGTGACTCTTTCATGCAGTTCCTCATGCTGTGGTGTCATGAATCATAATGTAAACATCTGATATGAAGGAAATCTGATATGTGACCCCAAGGGGGTCATGACCCACCAGTTAAGAACTGCTGCTCTACAGTCTAACAGTCTAAGAATAAGATACCCCATGGTATGCTAGCAAACTAGCAATTTGATTTGATGGAATAATCAAAATCAATATTTATTAATTTCCTGATTAGTATTTGTTGATGTTCATGGTATAAATACTTCCCCTGTGGCCAGCTTCAAGTTTATAGTTGGCTCATAAAACTGTCTATACACCTAACAAATGGATCCCACTAAGTCAGCAGGATTCTATGCTAATGAACAAACTGAATTTCTCCCAAAGTGCACAGATTTGTCTTTATAATGTTAATTTTAAATGTAAAAAGAGGATAAAGCACCCCTCCTCCCATTTAGAAATGGTCTCTCACTTTACTGTTCAGGCAGGACTCCAACTTGTCACATTCCTACCTCAGCATCCTAAGTGTGGGCATTACAGCATACGCCACCACATGCAGCCAGTGTTGTACTCAGAGAGGTTATTTTCTAATTCCACTGCCTTAACAATACTTTAATGTAGTAGAGAATTGAGCACAATCATACTGTTGGACAACCAATTCCAACCACCATCCATCTCTGACCTCCTCATCTTGCAAACCCGAAAATCCCAGACAAAAAGCCAAGGCCATCCTGGGCTAACAGTAGGTTTTAGACTAGCCTGGGCTAAGAACAGAATACCCTGAAACTTAACCTATTGCACAGTAAGTCCTTATTAGTCTCCTTCCACACCATTTTACTTTCTAGCTCTGTGAGTTGTAACTACTCTAGATAATTCACTTGAGTGGCATCACTGTGTGTGTGTGTGTGTGTGTGTGTGTGTGTGTGTGTGAGAGAGAGAGAGAGAGAGAGAGAGAGAGAGAGAGAGAGAGAGAGAGAAAGAGAGAGAGAGAGAAAGAGAGAGAGAGAGAAAGAGAGAGAGAGAGAGAGAGAGAGAGAGAGAGAGAGAGATTATTTTACTTAGTATAATATATTTTCAAGACTCCTCAAAGCTGCCAGCACTCCCAAGTACTCCCTTCCTTCTTGAGGGCGACCAGTCGCCCCAGTGTGTGTATCTGTTTTCCCTTTCCATTCACCCTGAGGTAAAAGTTTGGTTGTTACCGTGACTTGGCTACAGTGACTAACACCAGTAGATAAAGGTCTATTGAGGTTTCTATCTCTTCATGGTTTACTCTTGGAAGACTTTGTGCTTTCAGACAGTTCAGTTTCATCACTGGCGCACAATTCTATGTACTCTTCTAATTCTTATTTCAATGGAACGAGTAGTAACAGCTTCACCTGCACTTCTGATTTTAGTAATCTAGCTAAGGTCGTCAGTTATACTGATACTGCCAAGATATCAATGTTTAGCTTCTATTATTTTCCTATTGTCTATTCTGTTTTTCTCTACTCAAACCTTCACTGTTTGGTGTCTTCTTAATTTCACGGAAGTTAGTTCTTTTTCTAGCTCTTTATGCTATAAATTTGGTTGGCATATTTTTTAAAATGTGTTCTTAAGCTTTCTTATAATATAGTATAAATGTTTGTTTCTAAGTGTTTTCTAATTGTCTTGTAACGTCCATTTTGGTCTATTGGGTATTTAAAGATGTGTTTAATTTTCATAAACCATTCATCACAACAGCTTTCCTTCTATTGACTCCTAACTTTAATTGATAACAAGAGAAGATACTTGGAATATTCTTTTAAAACCTACTGAAAATTCTATGACCTGTCTATCCTCATTATGGAGAATGGGTATTGAATTCTTCAACTACTATTACAGAATTGTCAATTTCTTCCCTTAAATCTGTCAATATCTTTTAGACTAATTTTTATTATGCATTTGTCTAAGTCTTCCAGAAATCAAGCTACAACATCATTGCTCCAGTAATGCAGTTTTTACAACTACCAAGTGTTTACTTACACCTGTTTCTTCTCAGGCTTTAAAATAGTAGGTGGCGTGTGCTCTTGTCCACCTGCAGAACTCTAGTGAGCTTCCCAGCTTTTATGTTCTCCTTTCTCTCCCACTTGAGAAGCATAACTAACAACTGCAAAACTTTGCACAAAGTCTTCCTTTAGGAACCAGAATACACTGGCCTACTGTCTTCAGTGTCTGGCCTCATCACAACCATCCATCTGAGGAGACTGCCAACCCCTCATGCTCTCTGAGCGTACTCAGCTGCTTCTCTCCTATTGCTGAGTTCTGTGTCCTTGTGTCTCAGCACTGATTCTAGTCTTGGCGTGGTTCTCTTTGAATCATTCTACTTAAGAGTTCAGTGAACTTGTATATTTATAATCATGCCTTTCATTAAATTGGGACAGGTTTTGGCCATTACTCCTTTAAAAGTCCCTGCTACAAAGTATCTATCTATTTGATGGTACTCTATGTGTCCCTAGACTCCAATCCTTTCCAACATTTTCTAAAATATGTAGCAGTTTCTGCTGCCTTAGATCTAAGCTCAGTCTTTCCTCTGGCTGCTTTAGCCTGCCTCCAAATACCCACTTCAGATGGTGTAGTCTTCAGTCCCAGTGTTTGCTTTGTGCGTTGTCAAAGGTTCTCCTGTCTCCTTACTGTTCTCTCCTTTTGCTTGTGTACTGCTTCACCTTTTCTACTCCTTCCTGTTGTTCTACAAGCATCTTTAATATTGTCTTAGAGAGTCTCAGATCCCTGTCATTTTATCTTTTAAAGAGACAGTTTCCGTGGTTCATGTTTTCTTTGACTAGGCTATTCTTCCTTGTCTTTTTGATTTAGTTTTAATTATCTTGTGACTTTTGCTTAAAAATATTCAGCAACTCTGCCTTCAAATGAATGAGAGTTCCACCCTAGACAGTCTGTCCAGACAACCATCCCTGCAAGAGCATTTCTGCTGCTTCCTACTCCTCCATCTTCCTGGACCCCTTTCTACTTAGAAAGTGTCACGCTCTTCGGAGACTTGTTTATATGTACATGAGCTGTTAAAAAAGAAAACTCCATATCAGCTGGCAGAAGACACAGAGCCTTGGGAGGATGCCAATGACTTTCTCTGGGTATGGTGTCAACCAACTAAGCTAATTACATAGTCATTTAGGGGGTCAACATTAGAATTTTTAACATAGTTCTAAAATACAATTTTATTATGTCTCCTATCAAAAAAATTCACACACACACACCCCCAAAATAAATAAAAAACAACCTTCAACTTTGTCACATCCTCAATGGAAGAAGAGAGTCTGAATTCTTAGGAATGCCCTAAAGAGCACTTTACAACATACGTTAACCTATCATTCTTTGTCTCATTTTATTTATTACTTTTATGTTTTTAAAGATTACTTATATATTTTATGTATGTGAGTACTATGTCTGCATGTACACCTGCACGTCAGAAGAGGGCATTAGGACCCATTACAGATGGTTGTGAGCCACCATGTGGTTGCTGGGAATTGGACTCAGAACCTCCGGAAGAGCAGCCAGTGCTCTGAGCCACTGAGCCAGCTCTGCACGTCTCTTCCATGTTCATCAGAAGCCCTGCCACAACAAGCTACATGTGGAACAAGAGTGCTTCTCCTCCTGGCATCTCTGCTTGCAGACCTGACACTCTCAGCAGGGCATGTCCTGCTGCCCATTTTCAACGTCACATGTGCTTTTGCTTAGCTCTGGTTTAGATGGATTCTGTTTCACTGCAAAATCTTTTTAAAGTGTCGCAGGCAAAGTGAGTTACTACTCTCTGGGGGAGAGGGTTCTATAAGACTTTTAAATTTTTACATACATTAATTTTACAAAATAATGCATTTTGCCACCTTAATACATCTTACTCAGATTTGTTGCATATTTCCTAAAACCATATTCATAATGCATGCTCAATAAATGTACTGTCTGGAATAAGAAACAGAGGCATATAGTACCCAGGGCATAATAAAACACAGCTCTTAAATCTACACACGTCAATTTTGATGATTTTGTCGCTTGTAAATCTTTTGGTTAATATCTTTAAAATAGAATATATTATAGCTAAAAAGCACGTAAATCTTCATTGTACTTTTGGATTTTACGAGCAGTCTTGTTCAAGTACATCCCTAGGTATCCGCCATCTGTGTCTACTCATGGTCTACCCCAGTATCTAATCACACAATCAGTAATCATATTGCTTTCACATAGACACCAGGAGTATTGATTAGTTCACACTTAAATAAAACCATTTTATCAATTTATTGACTCTCGTTAGTATTAGAAAGAAGAAAAAAAAAAACCTGATTATTCTCCTACCTGGACAGCAAACACTAAGTATAATCTTCCCCATCTCCAGAGGCTCAAATGCTGTAAGAGGATTTCCTAGTGTGCTTTAGAAAACATTAACTGAAATGAATCATCTTGTAATGATACAAGGTCAAAGGAAAAGTATCTGCTGTATTTTGCATTCCACTGTGGTTCACGTCAGAAGCCTAATGACATTTCCTGCTAAGAAATTTAAACCTTTGTATCATCACACTAAGAAGAGCATAAAATTGTGGCCAGATGTTTCACTTTTTCATAGAACAAATTTAGTTAAGCCTGGGATAGAAAAAGACTTTTCTGAATATCTCATCATGACAAAAGTAAATTAGGCTCTTACCCTTAGACAAAACCTGAATCCTAAATTCTGGTTCTCTAGCAAATCATTATCACTAAGTTTAACCCCTCATGAAAAAGTACATGACAGGTTAATGGCGCCTGGGAGGCAAGTCAGGGAGTCTAGAGCTTGAAGGCCAACCTGACTACCTGGAGGGGTACTCACAGTTCGACTCACAGACTCAGATTACACTTAGAAGCACCACAGGCTTGCCAAATGGTCATTACCCTTTGAGTAAAGGAGCCAGATGCTCTTCCAGTGCTTATGTACAGCAGTGTGTGAGAAACATAACAAAAAGCAGGTACCTTTATCAGAGAATCTGCTCTCCAGGGCGTGGAGATCAGGCAACACATGAATACAGTTAATGCAGCAGTAGGTGAAGAAATCAAGGATAACCACTTTTCCACACAGGTCCTTGTAGATAGAAAGAGGTTCTTCTGTGTTCAGCCATTCTAATCCTGGAATTTATACAAAACAAATTACAACAACTAAAGGAAACAACAAAGACAAAGGGTAATTTAACTAAACTGTTCACTAGAATGTGAATCTTTGTTCCAAAGACGAATATATATAGTCCAACACTTTAAGAGACAATAGCACTGCTTAAAGTCTGTAGCAGTTGAGTTTATTAGTCTACAAGAGTCTCTTTTCTATTAGTAAATAAGAGAACAACTTCATGATCCCAACAACGTAAGTATGTATGACTTCATGAAAAGATCAACTAAGCAACTATGTGGAGATTAAAAGCCTGGAGAGGGATGAACAGGAAGAGGGTGGAAGCAGACTGAGAACAGGCATCTGCTCTGGGGAGGCAACCTGCAAATGTACCAAAAACAAACACAGTACTAGATCCTTTCAGCAATAGTGAAAAGTCTTGGGGAAGTGAATAAAATCAACACATTTAAGCACAAACAAGAGGAATAAGAATTATTTTTAAAAATCTAACTGCACCCATAATTAGGTGTAACAGGGGTACTGAAACAAAGGTCAAGCTCAAGGGCAGTCAGAAACCAAGAGGATCAGGACGCATGAAGGGCAAACATGAAGTGCTTATGTTCATACAAAACAGAAGTTAACATGTTCTAGGGTTGTATGAAACTAAATAGAAAACAAAATATTTTTTTTTTATTTTTTCTCAAATCGTAATTAATTCACACAGGAGTTATAAACACAGAAAGGCAGGGTGTGGGGAAGGGAATGACACTGGAGCGTGGGTATTCAGGGGGAATACAGATATCTTCAGAACCGGGTATCGGCTAGGTGAAGGTTCAGTGGACAAGTCACTATGACTCTGCCTATGACTCGCTTGTCTTTATCTAAGTTGGTATTGTCTGCCAAGGCTACCTATTTACAAGGTCTATGACTACTCAGGCTTATAAATTTCCACAAAAGCTGCCTGCTGACATTAGCTTATAGCCATCTGTTTCAATGTTTTTCCACTGAGACCCAAGACTTGGTGTTAGTATACATGTATGACAGGCCTATTGCTAATTTTAGGCCTATGGCTGATTTTAGGCCTACAGTGTGTAAGCAGGGCTGCCCCTGACATCTCCTCCCTTCTCTAAGTATAGAAGGGCTGTGGCAATTCTAAACTTGCAAAGGCGGGGATAGAGGACTGACCTCCAGTATTTGAAGGGGACCTTGTAATGGCTCCAGTCCCCCTGTCGTTGTCCAGTGAGGCATGAGGGCCATACCTGTCCCGATGTCTTTTTCCTGGAGAGGGGATACTTTTGACATCAACCCCTATGCAGTCAGACTTGTCCCTCAGGGAACCCAGATAGATATTTTTATCTTTTATTTATATTCCCTTGCAGTGCTTAGCCTCGCAGCCTAAGCAAGAATTCAGATCGCCTGTCAGAGGGGGTTCTGGGTGGCCCCTCTCTGCTTGGTCTAGGGGCAGAAGTCCCCTCTTTTAGATTGGGTGGAGATGGGTTTTGGAAGCACCCTGTATAAAGTAACAATCTCATCTTGAGTCTTGTGGTCCTCCATAGCTAACTTATGACAATGTATCTGAGTAGGTTAAAATATATATATATATATATATATATATATATATATATATATATACACATATATATTTTTTTTTTTAAATGCAAAATTAGAAGAAACATTATTATTGATGAAGATCATGTTCCCTTCCCTTCAAAGAAAAATAGGAACTTAAAACTTATAGTTTCTAATATAGTTGATGATTCAAACTTTTAATTTTATACTATGACTTTGTTAAATTAAAAAGCACAGCATCCCAATTTAAGAAAACATGTATTGCTTATCAGTAAATAAACACAGCTATTATTCATCACACCTTGAAGTAGACATAGATAGTTTAAAGAAACTAAAAGCTAAGGTTCGACAGCTCCCTTGAGTGGCTAACTGAACCTTGGGAGCTATGGGTGTCAGACGTAGACATCTGGTGTAGACTTCTGCATCCCTACACACTGCCCTCTTGAAGCTACCTGCAGTTCAAGGCGCAGAATCTGAAGGGTTAAAATTCACTCTTACTATACACCTTAGAAGCACAGCACATGGTTGTTCTTTATTCAGTCAAGAAATGACACCTTTTCACTTAAAGGAGAAACTTTATGGTTTGTCCGTGGCATATCCAATAGACAATATCATCACTCTTGAGTTTTGGAGCCATTATTAAGTGAGATACGGATGACTTAAGCATTGTGGTTCCAGGATAACTACTAACTGACTAGCAGTGGGAAACACACACAACACTGAGATGTAGACAAGGGCTGACTGGTGTCATGAACAAGAGGATGACTAACATTCTGGAGAGGACACAGAAGGAAGGCACACGGCAGCATCACACTACCAGAATAATGTACGGTTTAACTCGTATGAACAGTTTATTTCTGGAACTTTCCATTTAATCTGTTGAGAAGGTGATCAACTATAGGTTCCTGGAACCAGACATAAAGGAAGACTAATGTAGCAAGGACTACTAACAACAAAAACTGTAGTTATTCAATTATAACAACATTCTAGAAAAGATGACCTCAAACAAATTAGTATTTCCACCAAGTATGCTGAAGGTTTTAGGGTTCAGTGAACACTTATTCCTTCTGATAAGTATTAGCTATACTAATTGATGACACAGAACTAATAATTAACCTACTAGTTGACATGTATTTCACATCCCACTTGCAAGATATTTAAGACTCTATAAATTCTTAAGGGTGACTTATTAAGGGCATAGAAACAGTTATTTAAGTTTTTGTGTTAAGTAATTAAGTTTTGGTGGCAGGTATTTACCAGATTTAATGATAATAATATATCTTAATTACAATAAATATAATAAATAGCCAACACTTAATGAGTTTTCTTGTTTTCTAGGAATCTGCCTGAATTACCTCCATTTAATTACCCTACAAAGTAACTATCAGTTCCACTTTCTTTACAAGTGAAAAAAAATCAAGACCTGAAGAAATCAAGTAATGTGCTCAAAATCAAAAAGCTAACAAAGGAAGGAACAGGGATTTAGTTTCAGGTCTGCCTGGATTACCCATTATACTGCAGATGGCACCTGCTGAAGAATGAATATTTTCTAAGTAGATCAGTAAACTACAATCGAGACTAAACAAAACTTTATCTCGAAAACTGCTTTGTTTGTTTATAACATTCTGTTAATAACTGGGTGCAGTGGAACATCAGGCTATGTAAAAAACAAAGCCTGATTAATTTCTTATGACTTCAGTCACAGTGGCCAAATATCACAGTAGCATAGTAAACTTACTATAAATACAAACAAAACTAAGAAACTGAAACATTTCTCAAAATTCTAGGTGATGGCCTGCTGGTTTATAATAGTGTATTTTACTATGTACTTTATTACAAAGTTTTCAGAAGATATGTATACACCTGCATATATGCGTTTGTCATTTTGAAGTTTCTCTGATGGGATCGACCTCCATGCAGACAATTCTTTTGCAATTCCACAGAATTTCAAATCCAGTATATTAATAACGAGGGAGAGGGTAAGCCCCTCTCAAGGCGAGTGCAAAAGGGTAAGAAAGATATCCAAGACTGTTGTGTGATGAAGGAGGAACTGATATATCCTTCCGGGAGATACCTGAACTCTGCCACAGGTAACAAATTATGCATGTGGTTTCAGGTGTCATGCCAGGACACATGCCAACACGAGTAGGCTAAACAATGACACTCCCAACCAACGAAGGTAAAGGAGCGTTTTGTTTAAACTGTACTACTGGGAGTATCTATTTCCCCATGTTCCAACAGTTCCCAGAGTTAGGATTCAAACCTGAGTACTAAGCTAAAATTGATTCCAAATTTAAAGCTCAATAGTTATTAGACGGGCAGGTTCCCTAGCCTTCCATACGCCTCAGTTTCCATAACTGTACAACATGACCAGTAAGAGGGTCTCAGTGAGTTGTACCAAGTAAGATCTCTCAAGTGCTTAAAATAGTCTGTGGCACATAGAAAGTGATCAATAAACATCCACGGAGTCTTGTGGTCACTGACGTCAGGGCACGCAGGATTCAAGACAGAGATGCAAACACTGGTCCCCGCCCCGCAGAAACCCCTCCGTGTCCCTCTGGAACACCTCGCGCCTGTGGTCGGACAGCAGGGTACCAGATCTCCAGACGGCTGGCGGGAGGGAGCTATCCTGAGGAAGGGGAGGACCCGGAGCGGCCCCCACCCCGACGCCAGCCCCTCACCTTCCGGAAACTCGGGCACCGCTAGGTCCTGCTCCCAGCCGTCCACCTTCTGCACATACTGGTAGACCAGCTCATCCTTCTCCTGCTGGGTGACGGCGTCCAGCAGGGCGTACTCGAGCGAGGTCTGCGCGGGCAGCAGGCCCGAGAGGCTCGCGCCGCGCGCTCCGGGGGCCGCCATGTTGCTCGAGCTCCCAAAGGCTCACTGGCCGAGGGCGCGAGTCGGACCAGCGTGCGCCGCCCTCTTGCCTCAGAGCGGGGCCCGGCCAGCCCGGACCTGCGCCACACACGCTTCCGCCTACTCTAAGCCTTCCTTCAGACGCCAAAGTCCAAAGGGCCGTGCTTCCCCGGCGCGTAATTAAACTCCAGCGCTGTCCACCCCGCCCCTTCCAGGTTCCCGGCCGCCGCGAAGCCTGGACGTTCAGAGCGCCAGATTCGACACGGGAAAGGCTGCTGCGGTCGCGCTCTAGAAGAGCTGGGAACCCATTGCCTTTGGAGCCCGACAGGGTTTCCAAGACAAATAAAATTCAAATAACTATGTACACGTCAAAAAGAGCCGACTTAAGAAAGGCCTCCCCAGTTGTCCCACTCTTAAACTGAGATCAGCCGATTCGGCACGGCAGTGACAGCGGGACAGCATTCCCGCCAAGAAAGACCCGAAAGGTAAAGAGGGTAGAGCAATCCTCAGAGGAGAAGCTTCTTTATGTAGGCAGTGAGGCGAGTGGTTTTGTGTTAACAACAACAACAACAACAGTTTTTTTAAAAAGTGTCCTGTGACCCTCGGGGTGCTGAAAGTGCGGGCGCGAATGGAATGTCCCGCGAGCGGGGGAGGTGGTGCGGAGAGGAGGCAGCTGCAGCTGGTCCCCGGGCTGCCGAGCCAGGTGTGCCCACGAGGGACTGCGGGGGAGGAGGGGGGCGAGCCTCAGAAGGGCTCTTTGAGAGGCTGGCATTACTTAACCTGAGAATAATGTAGGGCCCCTTAATTCACCTTCCCCCACCCCAGATCCAAAGGCAAAGGAGGGGGAGCCTGTAGGAATTTTCTGGTACCTGACCTCTCCGGAGGTCTACAGAGGTGGCTCATTGCTTTCCGGCAAGACAGCCCCTGTGGTGTGGAGTACAATCTCACATGTTCGAACTTTGTTCACTGTGCAGGGTTTGATCCTATGACGGAGGAAGAAATGGACTGACCCAGGAAACTGAAGCTGTTTGGATCCATGAGTCACGAATAAAGGCAGCTGCCCACTGTAACCAACACCTCTTTGATTATGGTGTGACTAGTTTCGCACCCAGTAGACTGGGGCTGTGACTGGACTTGTGAATGGACACTTGTCCACATGAACGAGAGCCAGAATAGCTTTCTAACCATTATATGGAGACTGTTTTCAGTTAAAGTCATTGAGCCTGGTACTCACCATCAGTACTTAACATTCAAGGCATTCTTGATTCTTATTTTTATAAATTAAATTCTGGAAAGTTAAAAAAAAAACACCTTGAATGAAGTAGTGTCACAATATAAAGAAAATTATATAGATGTTACCCTGTGGTTGGATCTCTTAATTTCATTGTGGTATAAATAGAACAGCAGGTGTTCACAGGTACTAAGTGGGTTGTGTGCCAATATCACCAAAGCTTTCAGTTCCAACCACGTTAGTTGGCTTTTGGTTACTTTTTTTTTTTCCTATTAAAAATTTGTTACAAGAAATGAACTCTGAATTCACCAAAAACTAGTGTTGCACTCATAAAAATAATTTTGCCATGTTAGAAGACACGTTTTGGGAAGAAGACATCTGGGAATATAAATCTAAAAGAAAACCCAAACCAGTACATCCAAATAATTGTTCTGAAAATATTTCAGACTCTGTTGAAAAAGTAACAGATGGGAACTACCCATCAAAAAGAAAAAGAAACACAAAAAGAACTTCAGAAAAGCCAGGCGAGACAAAGGACCACAAAGTGTGCCTTGCAGAAACGGACAGTCAGATATCTGCAGGTTCCAGTCAGAATTCGAGCTGTAATGATGAGATTCAGCAGACTCAAAGCCAAGAAACAACACCAAAAAAGCAGTGTAGAACTCACAGAGGCAAGCAGGTGACCCCAAAGGTGCGCCCAGTGTATGATGGATACTGCCCAAGCTGTCAGATGCCCTTCTCCTCACTGCTAGGTCAGACGCCCCGGTGGCATGTTTTTGAGTGTTTGGAGTCTCCACCGATCTCTAACACAGGTAAGAAAAGGCCCAGTGAGGCTCCCGTTAGTGTCTCCTCAGTGCTGGGATTATAGGCACTTGGAACCATGCCTGACTTGTTTATGTGCAGGTTGGTAATTAGAACCCCGGTCCTTGTGTTCACAGCAGGTACTTTATGGAATGGACTGAGCTGTCATCTCAATTTCTTCTCAGTTTCCATAAATGTCACTGAATCTTTCACTCTGTTTTTTCCTACTTAACTCTTTTAAGGACCATATAAGTTAGATGGTATCAACATTTTATAGATAAGCGATCCTAATGGCTGAATAGTCAGGCCTCTTTGTTATCCTACTTTAGAATTAGATAGAAAAGTATAAATACATTCGGATCCTAAATATGGATATGTTGTATTCATCATGCGTGTTAGTGTACCGGAAGAGGAACTAGAAGGTAGTCTGAGATGATTCAGTCTCACAGAAATGTGCCAGTAACAGAAGAGATGCCATGTTTTTATTATATTTTAAGATAAATGTCATGTTTAACACATAGAAAATTCTCCTTGGACTATGTGGGGAATGACTTATGACTATTTGTTTTTAAGTTACCTCCAATTTCCTTGTGAAAAGAGGATCTGAAAAACAATCTAGAATTATTTGGTTTAAATTTAATAACTAGATCCTTGTAAGATTATGTTGGATTAATTTTTTGGTGTTTTAATGTTGATCTTGGCAACAGCTACCCATAGATATTGCCATAGTTCTTAGAGGGGACCCATGGTGGGACCCAGTGCTTGACAATGAGGAGGTGGGCAGATATCTGTGTGTTCAAGGACAGCCTGGTTTACATAGAGAGTTCCAGGATAGCCAGGGCTATGTAGAGAGACCCTGTCTCAAAACAAAACAGTGGACTGTGATTTTGTGCTTAGTGGTTACTTTATGGTGCTAGTGCTGTCAAGGTTTATTGTATAAAATGGTCTTTTTTTTCCTTTTTGACTATTTTCAGAGTGTCCAGAGGGTTTGCTGTGTACCTCCACAATTCCTTCTCATTATAAGAAATACACTCACGTCCTGCTTGCGCAAAGCCGGGATAGCAAGGAGAGTCTCAGCAGCCCCTCGCACGCATTGGCTGGGCGGTTTGCTGCAGCGACACCAGATTCTCCTTATAACCTTGAGGAAAGACGGTCTGTGCTTCTGAAAACTGGGAACTCAAGAAAAGTGTTAGAAGATTCTTTGTTGATGATACAGTGTCTAAAAACATCTCTGCCTCCAGCTGAAACCAACAGGAAGAGCGTCTCTTCTCCGTGTTCTCAAATGTCTCTAGTTCCACAGCCTGCAGAGTTTGTTAAGAGAGACCAGCTGGTGGGAGGTGGACCGCCTCTTGCTGAGGTTGTATTCAATAGCCAAAGCGAGTCAGGGAGTACGGGTTTGCCATTGCCAGAAAATGACGGTGGCGGCTGTGAGATCTCTTATTCTCCGCTGCACAGTGACGAAGAGACTTATGACATAGACCAAGAGCTGGACGATTCACAGCAGGAACTATTTTTTACCCAAAGCTCTAAAGACAGCAGCCTAGAAGAGGAAGGCTCTGCCATTTTTGAAGACTTTCATGGTCCCTCCGCAAAGGAAGCAGAGGGGATCTGGCCCACAGCGAAGAGCCTGGTTGCTCGGGCTAGGTGTAGTTCGTTGAGTGAAGGCAGTACACTAAATGACTCTTTTCTTATCTCCCAAACCCCGAGCAGGTTTTCCCGAGAGGATCTATCACACACAGATGCAGCCTTCCTCTTCCTCTCACCTGCGTTGGCAGTGGGAGGTTCTGTTTCTAATTATCAGACCACTAAGGGCAAGCCTGATGAGCCAGAAAAATTCCACTCACTTGCATCAAGTTATCAGCCACAGAAAATTGAAACGTCAGCTGTTGGCAATCAGACTTCTCTGCCGTTACTTACAAGTGCCATGTCAAAGCCACGGGACAAGGAGGGAGGCGAGCGTCTGCCTCTGCATCCAGCCCTAAGTCAGACTAGAGGATTACAGAGTAAGGGCTTGGGTGCTCCAGGTGCTAACTGTGCCTGCAGGAACGCACAGAAGCCCGCTAGCACACCTCTTGACAAGCCCTTGGGCACATCGCCTTCCAGTGCCAAGTGCAGCCCAAGCCAACCTTCTAAGAGAGTCATGAAGCAAATGGATATAGGTGTGTTTTTTGGACTACCACCCAAAAGACAAGAGACACCACGGAGGGGAAGTGCATCAGAAGGGCCAAATGTCAGTCCAGTTGTGAGCCCCAATGAAAAGAGGCCCCGGTTGAGTAAGAGGAAAGCACAGAGTTCTCTGAGTGACTTAGAATTCGATTCAAAGAATTCAAGTGAGAGTCAGCTCTCTGTGGAACTGTCTGGAGAGAGGACCCAACATCGAAGAAAGAGACATAAAAAGTCAAATTCACCCCGGGAAGGAACATACCAGCGCAGGTCAGGTCACCTCAGTAACAATCCAGAGTTGGGAACAGTCAGCTTGAGCAAAGGCAAAGCCTTTGTAAGACGGACTCACGGCAGGACGCAGAGAGGGAACTCAAACGCTTCAGAGTCCTCTGGTGCAGGGAAGTGGAGAAGAACGTGTCCGTTCTATAAGAGAATCCCTGGTAAGTTGTAATACCAACTTCAGCTTATCAAGGAAGACACAGCAACGTTTAGCGTCACGGTTTTTGTCTTTGGGTAGAGAAGTTTGAAATAATTTATGTAGAGTATATATTTTCTTTGCTTTTTATAATACTTTATGAATCTTTTAACATGATCATGGTTTGGGTTTTTTAAAATTTCTTCATTATCAGCAAATTTTTGTCAACCATTTTATACATGATACTATAATTAGGTAGCTATTATAGATTATAGAAAGGCATGTGAACAGTGGAGATTCCACATAACATTGAAGACTGTAGGACGTTGGAGTAAATATAACAAAAGCCAGCGTCTAAGCACTGCTCAGGGTACACAGCCTCAGTGACTTGAAAGAAGGAGAGTGTAACCAGCTCTTCCTTACCACAAAAGCCAATTTTCAAGCAATGTGAGAACCTAGGGCTTTCTGTTTTCATATGTTCTAATTGGATATCTGCCCATGCCTTCACAGATAAGTTCATGGGAAAACTGAGCCCAGAAATGAATTCCATTGCTAAAGAGAGATAACTCTTCTATTAGGAGAATACAAGGGAACAGCGAGGATATACTCAGCTTCTGATATTGCACAGAAATGTCCCACTGATGTGGGGCCAGGGCCGGTTCTGTTTTCAGTGAGCATTAAGATTCCCTTTTTATACGTTACACGTGCTGAGTATTGGCCGCCTCTGTATCCTGGTGAGGCTGAGCCTGTTTGCCTGCACATCAGCTGTTAGCACACTTGACTGTTTCACTCATAAGCACACTTTAGAACAGTGTTTCTCAACTTCATTTTTGTTATTTTTCTCGGGGGAGACTTTTGAGGCAATTCCTTCTTATATCCTTCCTCCTCCGCTACCGACCCCAAAACAAAATCCAAGGACTACAGATAATATTGTCTGTCTTTTCTTTTACTTTGTCTCTTTGGAGAACTGCAAACTGTGGTAAGTTTTCTGACCCCTGAGAAGCCTATCAGAGTCACCCCCTCATTGGGATTCATGGCTTTGAAGTTCCAACTGATTCTCTTCTCAGTGCTTGGTAGAAATTGGAGATTTTACTTGCCCCACCCCTAAGCATCAGTACCACAAAAGTATTGATCAGGGAAAAGAAATGATTGGTTTGGAACTTAACATTCTTTAATTTTTTTTTTTTTTTTTTTGGTAAGATCATTCTCAAACCTCTACACTGGAGTATTTAGCAGATGCAGAAATTTTCCTTACCTTTTGATAAATGTATTTTTTTTAAGGAACTCATAGTGAAATTGAAGCATAAATGAGAGGTACAAAGTGGAGAGGCCTGGCCATCAGCCAGGACTTGGTGTGTGAGTGCCTGGCTCCTGCTCACACCATGCCGGCCGTCTCGTCTCGTTGCAGGGACTGGCTTCACTGTGGACGCTTTTCAGTACGGTGAGGTCGAAGGCTGCACGGCCTACTTCCTCACACATTTCCATTCTGATCATTATGCTGGGTTGTCGAAGGACTTCACCCGGCCGGTCTATTGTAGTGAGGTAAGTTTCAGTCCTCTAAACTCTGTTTTTTGGGATATCGTGGCTTTGAGAAACTTATACCATATTGAAAACTAGAAGAGCCATCATTGTTCTGGAGAAAATGGCTAAAGCAGATTGGACATTTAGGTTTAAAAGTCAGATATGTCACCATCAACAGATACAACCTATTTTTACAAGCATGTATCTTATTACATGAGAACAATAAATGTCCTTACAGTGTACTCACTAAGCCAAGGTTCACTGAGTAAACATTCTTCTGAATGCCTAAGTAGATATAGAGGCAAAATACTTAACATTAGGGAGCTTGTATCTTCCAGGTAAAGCTAGGGCAGCTTTATTACCACAGCACTGGTACCTCAGACTCTGTCCCCAGCTGTTTAGAAGGAAGTTTCATGGTGCAAAATACCTTGAATTGGTTGTTAGATCGTGAACACTTCACAGTTCCCAGGGGGCTTCAGCGAGAAAGTGATGTAACCCTCACAGCGTAGTCTGTGACGAACCTCAGAAATATGTACTTTGAGCTTTCAGAAAGTTCAGAGTATCTAGAACATACCACAGGGAAACACAGAAGATAAACCCGCAGCAGAGGGTGGGGACCAGGTCAGGATGTGTTTTGTGTGTCCTGCTGGGAATAATGGGCTTCTCCCAGATGAACAAGCAGCAGGGTGACATGGGTATCTTCCAGACTTGTCCCTCCTGTGGAGGGTCCACGTGCATAACAGTGGTAAACCCGAGAATACTGACATGCCATGGCTCTAAACAGAATATGACACAGCACCACTTTCTTGCCTTGCAGATAACTGGCAATTTGTTGAAGAAGAAGCTTCGTGTACAAGAACAGTACATCCATCAGTTGCCGATGGACACAGAATGTATAGTGGATGGTGTCAAGGTTGTTTTGCTGGATGCCAATCAGTAAGTATGAAGGCCGCCTCAGTACCCACTTGTCACTGTAGGTGCACACCAGTGGCATAAGAGGTGCCTGCCGTAAACAGCATTGAAAACGAAAATGGCGGCATGGCTGTCCGAGAACTTAGAGCTGATAAGCTGCACTCTTTTTTTTTTTTTTTTTTTTTTGTTTTGTTTTGTTGAGACAGGGTTTCTCTTTATAGCCTGGGCTGTCCTGGAACTCACTCTGTAGACCAGGCTGGCCTTGAACTCAGAGATCCGCCTGTCTCTGCCTCCCAAGTGCTGGGATTAAAGGCATGCGCCACCACTGCCCGGCGATAAGCTGCACTCTTAAATCAGCGTAAATCCTATTTCTATTTTTGAAAAAACAATTTCACAATCAGATTAAGTGTAGAGAACATCTGTTGTCTAACTCATATTTTGTACAGTTGACTGGTAACACTTTATATTAAAAAAAATACTTTGTTACTGGTCTTGAAAGAGGCGGTTTTCCATTTTCCTTAACATAACCTACATAAAGTAAAATCTGATATTCTATTTGATTGCCAGAGGATTGGGCCTCTGCTACCACCCTCTTTTAAACTAAAAAAAAAAAACAAAACAAAACAAAAAACAAAAACCTCATTCCATTTTAGACTCTATTTGGAAGATTTCTTTTTCCATTGAAATGGATAGTATTCTCTCTCTCTCTCTCTCTCTCTCTCTCTCTCTCTCTCTCTCTCTTCCTCTCTCTCTCTTTCTCTCTGTCTCCCATCTCTACCCATCTCCTTCCTTTTCTTCTCCTTCTTCCTCCCCATCCCTTTTCCATCTGCATCTCTGCCCCACACTGTAAGGTGCTATCAAGATTCATGTGACCCAAATACAGCAACCCACTACGCTTCTTTCTGAAATGTGACCCTATTCCATAGAGACCATAAGCGTCTTGGGAAAGATGTAAGGCAAAATCTAGATTTGCTGAAATCCAGGCCAATATTATGTTAGATTCTTAAAAAAAAAAAAATGGTTTCTAGCCTTGCTGATACTTCTTTTTTGATTGACGGTTTGAGTTCTATGTTTTTTGGAGTTGTTGTTATTGAAACGTTTACCACAAGTCACACACTTCACATAAACTATTCGGTATAACTAGTGTCTCACCCAACACTTATCAGACAGAAGTTGTCCTAAGGGCTTAGAAGCTAGGCCAGCCTGTCCTGGAGACAGGACCTTATTAGAAATGTGCACCGTAGACATGAGCTAGCTTCCCTGCACACTGGTGCAGCTGATGAAGTCCGTTCTCCTGTTGATGTTGAGAGACGTGCCCTTGCTCCAGGTGCTTTGTCTGTTCCCTGCATGTTCTCTAAAATGTTTGTGTCCAGCTGTCCAGGTGCTACCATGATCCTTTTCCAGCTTCCCAACGGTGCTGTCATACTGCACACTGGAGACTTCCGAGCAGACCCCAGCATGGAGCGCTCTCTCCTGGCGGGCCGCAAAGTCCATACCCTGTTCCTAGACACCACGTGAGATACTTTATGCCTTCTTCCTTGTCCCACCGATAGCTATGCCCTGTGTTGTATGGGTAATTTGGTTAGATCATTTAAATGATGACTTATAGCTAATTTATGTTTTAAGAGTGTTTATCAAAAAGATGCCATTTAAAAAGCCTACTTAAATGCAAATTTTGAATTATAGGCCTTAATTTTTTGTTATTTTAATTTTGAAAATGTTTATAGGACAGTCGTGTTACTAAAAAAAAAAAAATTAGGGGACAAACTTTAGGAAAACATCTTTTAAATTATTTTTTTTTCTGAAGTGTCCATATAGTTTCTTGGTATAGTTGTGAAGAGGAAACAGAGGCCATGATGGGGTTTTTCTTATGAGTATTGGAATAACTTTTATTCTTTTCTTAAAAAGGTAATTTATAAGTGATACCTTTGAATCCTTCAGTGATACAAATATAATCATCTAAGTGTTTATACTTAGATTATGTGGTCTTAGCCTTATTAAGGTACAATTGACAGAAATTATGTGTATTTGTACTATACAATGTGTTTCCATGTATTAAAATGACTCATTGATTTGTTAGGACTCAAGTATATAAACATTTTAAGAATTCTTTGAATAAGATATTTCAGTAAAAGATAATCTTTCCAAAAAAAAAAAAAAAAAGGCAGAAACACCAAAGACAAGTCTTTCTATGGCCATTTGCACCCAGTGATGGTTTCATTCTTTCATGTGTTCTTTAAATGGTAGATAAATTAAAGAAGTAACATTTTTTTTAAATGTAGTTTTATTCTGCATATGGTTCTGGAGTTCTTTGTGTTAGAAGAAAGGCCTGGGATTCTTTCTCCTTTTTGATGACTAAGTACCAAAAACAGTTCTGTAAGTCATAAAAAATCATTTGTCCAGTGTTTATAGTGTGTTATATTTTAGAAAAAAAATCACACTTTTCATCTCAAAATATATACAGATAATAGCTGGGAGCCAGCCTTTCAATGGATGTTTTTGAGCATGCAGTCCAGCTAGATCTGTTAGGTATTTTTAAAAGATTTGTTTTTATTATTTCTTACTCTGTGTCTGCGTGAGTGCATGCACTTGAGTGCAGGAGCCATTGGGGACCTAAGGCGTTAGAGCCCCTGGAGCTGGGGCTACAGGCCAGGTTAGCATCTGACTCTTGTGGGTGCTGGGAGCTGAACTCAGGTCCCCTGGAAAAACAGTCTGCACTCCTAACCCATGGGCCATCTCTGCAGCCCCTTTGTCTGCCATATCCTTGTGATGTATGCATTTATGTATTTGTGAAAGGAAATAACCATGTGTATATCACTTTTAATTTGAAATGCTACATTAAATTCATCTTTAGCTTATTTATAAGTCAGAATTCTTTCCTATAAATATAATCTCTTTTGGTTGTATTTTCTTTGATAGTAACTTGGGTTTTAAAAGTAGATACTGAGTTCTATCATTCATAAGTAAAGCGGTCAACTGGGAAATATATTCTTATTGAGAAGAAAAGTATTTAGATAGGAAACTTCGAAGATGATAACAACATAATTAAAAAAATGCGTGGTGAAAACTTATCATTGTGCCATAAATTGGCGGTAACTGGAAACGGGTGTTTTCACTGTAGGCCGCGTGGGACTCCGTGGTTTTCGTAGTTACACTCCTGGTATATGAACCTCGCTGGTTCGTTTTCTTGTAAAGTAGTAGCATCGGAGCAGAGCCTCGGCTCTCACTTCCTCTGTCAGTAAAAACCAACTGCATGTCCTTGTCACAGATACTGCAGCCCAGAATACACCTTCCCATCTCAGCAGGAGGTTATCCAGTTTGCCATCAACACTGCCTTTGAGGCTGTAACTCTAAACCCGCGAGCTCTTGTTGTCTGCGGCACCTACTCTATTGGAAAGGAGAAAGTCTTCCTAGGTGGGTGGCAGCAGTATCTAATTTACATTAATATATTATAAAGATCAGTCTCGCGAGCCGGCCCTTTCAGCCCTGCTCCTGCATTCGATACTTACTTTCTGAAATGATCCAGTATTACCTTTGAAGTTAGAGGGAAAATGGACAGTGCTCGACACCTTTAAGCCAGGAGGCTAAACTCCGTGGGAACATTTGACAAGTGCATCTGTCTTGACACTTATGTCTATAGGCAGTCCATGTGGCACCGTGGTCTCAGCCTTGAAAGGCGCTCACTGGATAGTGTGCGGCATCATTCTTTGCTGTATCCACCAGCGAGCCAGCAGAGAACAATTTAACTTTTGCTCCTGAGAGACTGCTTCTGTCTTCCTATAGTTTGTCTACGTGATAGATGTGTTGTCTAGTTTCTGCAGAGTGCTCCCAAACTCTTCAGTGTGATAACACTATGCCAACCTCTAAGAGATGAAGTGATAAGGCCAGGAATTTAACGTGTGCCAAAGTTCTTCCTTTCCATCTGCCTCCTTCTATGCTTTCTTCTAAGATTAATTGTATTTTTAGTTATGTGTGTATGTGTGTGTATCTGCATCTGTGCATGGGAGTACAGGTGCCCATAAAGGCCAAGGATCACGTCAGATTACCCTGGAGCTGGAATTACAGGTTCTGAGCTGCCCAGCTAGGATGTTGGGAACCAGACTGGGGCCCCTGCAAGGGCAGTCTGTGCTCTCAGCCACTGAGCCATTTCAACGTGTGCTTCCTATGCTTGCTTTGTAGTTTTTAAATGATAAGTAATAGACTTTTTAAAATAAGTTCTTTGGCTTTCTCCTAGTTAATTTCACATAGCTAATGAGCAAAATCATTTGGCTATTTGTAGTTAAAATGAGGATGCTTGTTTTGTGAATTTGTTTTTCATTTGTTAAATTTTTACTTTAAAATGTGAGTAAGTTGTAACTTTGTTTATTTAACAGGCTATGGTTTCATTGTTGTTGTTTTTTTTATCTTTTGCTTTGCCTACAGCCATTGCTGATGTTTTAGGTTCAAAGGTGGGCATGTCCCAAGAAAAATATAAAACTTTGCAGTGCCTCAATATTCCAGAAGTCAGTTCCCTCATAACCACAGACATGTGCAGCTCTTTGGTTCACCTCCTCCCAATGATGCAGATTAATTTTAAGGTAAGCATTGGAGATGTGTATCTTTTAAGATAAGGCAGGAAAGGGATGTATCTGAATAAAACCTTAAGTAATTCTGTGAGAATGAAAATCCCCCCCCCCCCAGGAAAACATTTGATGTTCTTAGCTTTTCTGTGTATATAGCTTTGTAGTGCAATTCACATGCCCACCAGGACTTTGGACACCTGACGATTAGCCAAAAGGAAAGAACACAGATAGAAAAGCGTGTCCCATCTGGTCATCCAGACTTCTATTTTAAGACCACTTTTCCTGGTCATTTCTAGGTGAGTGAGGGAGTTAAATAGTTGCAAGTTTTTCCTCAGGCCTCTTTTGTTCCATTCTGATTTTGGCCCCTATCAATGCTGGCATGAACTGCCGGTGTATCCTGACAGGAAGTTCTAGTGTGATTCCCTGGGTATAATCTCAAACATGTCATATGAAAGGTCTGATATGTCACTGTGGTTTAGGGACCTATCTCAGATTTAAGTTCTAGGATTTTTTTTTTTATTTTAACGTTTTGACACCTGCCAGTGGAAATAGTAATGTAGTGTAATAAACATGATTTAGAACATGATGCACAAAATGCAATTTTGCTTTTGCCATATTCATAAAGTAACTTTCCCGAAGCTTTTAAAACTAGGAAGCCTGTGCCTTACAAATAACAAGAGACCAAGAAAACAAATGTTCACTGGCGCATGAGGTGAAAGCACCAAGATTCAGAAGTTATCTTCCTAAGTTTATAATCCAAAACATTTCCAGATATAACCAAGGCAGGGTTTTTCACATTGGTAAATAATTGGATCAATCTCGTGAGCACTGTAAGCTGGGAGCTGCCCACTTGGTGGAGGTCTCAGGAAATGCTCATCAGAAGGGTGGGCGCCTCCGACCTGGAGAACAGCAGCATTGTTTTCTTCCTGACTCAGTCTGTTTCATCTGAGCAGGTTGTCAGGGTCGGGGAGTCAGTATCCAAGGTCCACAATAACCAGTCAGTGTTATGGACAGTGGAGGGTTAGAACCTATCACAAGGGTGTTGGTGGATGCTGTCTGCTGTAGAGAAGGCCAAGTGAGGGAAGGAAAGTCGACTTCCACCAGAGCTGCTTGTTTGACAAGCATGGCCTGTCTTAGAGTTTTACTGCTGTGAAGAGACACCATGACTAAGACAAGTCTTATAAAGGACAACATTTAATTGAACTGGCTTACAGGTTCAGAGGTTCAGTCCATCATCATCAAGGTGGGAGCAGGGCAACATCTAGCCAGGCATGGTGCAGGCAGAGCTGGGAATTCTACATCCTCATCTGAAGGCTGCTGATGGACGACTGACTTCCAGGCAGCTAGGATGAGGTCTTATAACCCACACCCACAGTGACACACCTACTCCAACAGGGCCACTCCCTGGGCCGAGCACATACAAACCGTCATAGGACCCGTGCAGTGGCATAATGATGGAGAGGCCAGGCGGCAGAGAGCTGAGGAGGAGTGAGAAGGCTGTCCGTCCGTCACACACTGATGGCCAGCCTCTAGGACGGCCATACTAAAGGAGGCACAGTGAAACCACCCCTTCACATGCACTTGAGTAGCTATAGTAAAGCAGATAGACAGTAGCTGCTGTTGTTGAGGCTGTGGGGAAATCTGAGCCCTGTTCTCTGCTATTGGATCCGAAGTGATGCCCTTACGTTCCGTTTGTTGCTGACCTGATCAGTCCTGGGCATATCCCAGTGCTACCTAAGGAAAACAAAAACATCACCACGCACAAAACTGTGGAAATATTCACAGTACCGTGATCCATAGCAGCCAAAATGTAGAGACAGCCCCAGTGTCCATCAAATAGTGAATGAACAAATATAATGTGATGTGTCTGTAAGGCAGGACATTCTTCAACCACAAAGAGGGTGGGATACTAATCCATGCAACAGCATGAACTATGAGGGAAATGTGCAAGACTGAAAAGGCAGACGCAAATCTATGTGTCCTGTGGTTTGGTCCGAGTGTAAATCTATAGGACCAGGATGCCTGCCCGGTTTGGAAGACAACGGAGAGTGACTGCCGGGGTAAAGAGCTTCTTTTCTGGATGACGTAAACGTTCTAGAATTTGGTAATGGCGATGATGCGCAACTTTGACTTTGTAAATAGACTGAGAACGGCTGAACTGTGTGATTTTAACGCTGGCAGTCGCTGCCTAGAAGCCAGGAGACCAGACAGACAGTGAATAAGCAAAGAAGAGGTAAATGGAGACCAGAGGCAGAGCGTGGCGGCTGAGAGCAGCCAGAGCACTGCAGAAGCTGGGCACACAGTGTGGCTTCCTGGGAGAACTGAGTAAGGTTTTGTTGTGGTGGGATGACTCGGGAGGTGACTCGGGAGATGACACTGGACAGGACACGGGAGGTAAGGCAGCAATTGGTGAAGTGAGATCTCTCAGCAGCCTTGCTCAGAAAAAGGACTCAGATGGCTCCTGCACAGCCAACAGCTTTACAGACTGTTTTCTGGTCCTCAGGAGCTTCTTTTAGATTGTATTTTTATCGTCCCAGACCTAAACAGAAATAAATCTTGAGGCAACTGCAAACTCAAGTACAGTTTTTATGCAGGAACTCAAACAGGCTTTCAGGGCAGATTTGGAAGCCTTTATTCTGAGCACGATTTAGGCTGGCGTTCTTGAGAAAGGAGTGACCTGGTACTATTGTCTAAATTTTTAATACTCCCTGAGCTTCTTTTACCACTTCTGGGAGTTTATATTAAAAATTAATCCTATATGAAAAGGGTATTTTTTAGGGCTCCCAGACGATGAATGTCTAAGAAAGATAAGAAAGAGCAGGTGGAGTCCCTCCAGGCACACAGACAGCTGAGGCTGTGAGGCTCCCGGGAGTGAGCCGTGCCTTCCTTACCTCACTGCCTGCTCTGGAACTAGAGCAGATATCTACTGTACTGCCTCAGGACTCTCCCATCCTCCCTGGGGTGAGCAGATAATGGTGAAGTTTGAAGCATCCTAGCCTAATAGGCATAGAGGAGTGGGATCTGATGATTCTTGTAATGCCGTATATCTTATATCTGTGTATCTTAATGACTATAGCCAAATATACCAACCCCAAATATTCGTACTGCGTCAGACATAATGGCTTTCTTGTTCAAAGACAAGCCCAGTAGTTTCCAAGGTATTCAGGGAAACTTTAAAGAGTTTTAGAAGCAAGCAAGTAAAATGCTTGCTGTACAAGGATTTGAGTTCTATCCCCAGGCCCATGTTAAAAACAAAACAAACAAACAACAAACGAAAAACCAGCTGGTAGTAATATGTGCTTTGTAGACCCAGCACTAGGAAGCAGAGAGAGAATCTCTAGGGCTCCCTGACCAGTAGCTTAGGATACTTGACAAGCTTCAGGTAGTGAGAGAACCTGGCTAAAAGGTAAACGGATCCCAGGGAACAGCACACAGATCGCCCTCAGGCCAACACAAGCCCATTCCATGTGTGCCTGAATCTACACACACACACACACACACACACACACACACACGGCACACACAGTCACATGCACTCTCATGTCTAAAAATAAAGGCTGAAACGCTGCAAACGATGCTTAGTTCATACTCTTCAGCTCATCCCAAGGTCTCACAGGTGTCACATGGTTGACTGCCACCTCTGACTTAACCCTTACTGACTAAATGTGGTAAAACACTATACAGAGATGCTGTGAGGGCTGCTGGCATTCTGAAGGAGACCTTTGCGATGTTGCCAAGGCATTTTTTTTCCTCACAAACTGGTTGCTAATAAACACGGGGAGACAGTCATAAATCAGGGGTTTTGTGTTGACTAAATTGTTTATAATAACTTTCCGAATGAGAGCAGCCCCACAACTGTAGCTAATGCAGCGAGGGGTTGCTGGCAGCCTTTTCTGTAGATTTGGCTCGTGTAACCACAAGTTTCTATTTGTAGCGCTGGCTTATATCACATGTTATTTTTAGAATAACTAATTTGTCTCATAGGAACCAAAAGTTGTTGCTCGTCTAATTCTTTCAGATAGCACACACACACACACACACACACACACAGAAATAACTATGTTGGTAATGGAGGTTGCAAACTAGACTCCAGTTTATGGGACTATGGGTACAATTATGCATATTGCTATCCATGGTCTCTGTTTACTGCCACTTCCTTTCCGGCTGAGGGTGAATCGGAGAAAAATAGTAATTAAACAACCAACCAAAACAAGAAGTTCAAAACTGTACAGTGCTACGGGTGTCATAATAGAAGCTCAAGTATCTGTAAATCCAGCTCCTAATATCAAAGTTATGAGCTGGCTAGAAATTCAGTCCTTTCATGATAGATATTTTTATATTTTCTTCAAATTAATAAAAGCTTTTGGTTGGTACAAAAGGAAGTCAAGCGGGGCTGGGAAGAAGGCTCAGCAGATGAGCACTTGCTGTGCAGCATATCCTGGGCTCGCATCTCCAGCACCCTGTACGAAGCAGGGGTAGATGCACATGCTTGAGCCCCAGGTCAGGTTAGTGACTGACCATGCCTCAAGGGACAGGTAGAGCATAATAGAACGGGATACCCCATGTCCTCTTCACACATGTACACATGTGCTTGTGCGCGAGCACACACACACACACACACACACAGGCACGATTATTTCATCAACAAAGTGCATTTTAATTCATTCTACCCTTTTGAAATCCTAGATTTCAACCTTAAACTCTAAAGGTTTGACGTTCAGAAAACTCCCCTATGTCAGCGTTACCAGTCTCACGCCACTGTTACCATCAGCTGTGTTTCTCCAGTCTTTCAAAAAGAGGTTTGTGAAATGTCACGGCTGCTTATGACTTTAGCACTTACAAGAGGACCAGGTGTGGTGGTTTGAATAAGAGTGCTTCCTGTAAGCTTATGTTTTTGGATGCATAGACACAGGAAGTGGCACGATTTGAGAAAGACTGGAAGGTGTGGCTTTCTTGGAGGAAGTGTTTTGCTGGGAGTGGGCTTGGAGGTTTCAAAAGCCCATAACAGCCTCAGTGTGTCTGTCTCTGTGAGTGCGTCTGTCTCTGTGGATCAACTCCTGCTCCAGCACTGTGCCATGCTCCCTGCCTTACTGATGATGGATTAAACCTCTGAGACTGTAAGCAAGCCCCTAACTAGATGTTTTCTGTGTAAGAGTTGCCTTAGTTATGGTGTCTCTTCCCAGCAATAGAACAGTGACTGAGGCAGAAGTTGGTACCAGGAGCTTGGGTATGGCTATGTCAGTCCCCACCATGCTGGAACACGGAAGACTGCGGACGTTTGAACTAGAAAAGTAATCGGACACTTTAAGTCGGGCTGGATGGGCCATCCTTGTAGGGGAATACAGGAGACAGTGTTGATGGTAATTTGAATTGTAGGGGTCCCACCTGAGACGTTTCAGAGGGTAAGAAGATTACCATTTGTGTGGTATTTTGGCAAAGAACATGGCTGGTTTTGCCCTTATCCTAAAAATCTGCCTAGTTTTGGACTAATAGCATTGACAGAGGAAATTTTAAGACAGCCTAGTATTGACCGTGCCGTATGATTATTAGTGATCACTCTTATGATCTATAGTGAAAGGAACAAGCTGGACAGAAAGACATGATGCACATTTTGGGGGAAGGGGCACCAGGAGGTCTAATGGAGCTGAGTCCAGCGCTCAAGGAGATAAAATGTTTAAAGAAACCTGATGTAAAAGGAATAAAGGAGTGGTGACCGCAGGGGAAGACCCCACCCAGCTAGGCTTCCAACCTGTGAAAGGAATTCACGAGAAGCTAAGCCGTGGAGGGAACCATCAAGAGCAGACAGCGGAAAGCCGATGCAGACCTAAGTGAACAAGGGTCCCGCTCCAGCCCCATCAAGCAGCAGAATTATGGAGTCTCCCTCCATGGCTAAGGAAAGTCAGCGAGGTCAAGAGTGTGTCAGGGATGTCCCTGCATGCAGGTCCAGAGAGGCCACTGTGTGAAGCTGTGAAGGTGAAGCCTGGGTTGCCTTAGAAACCCCAAGATGTTAAGATACCTCTCAGGAAGAGCTGCAGACCAGATGTGGAACCAGTCCGAAAGGAGAAGTGTGTTGCCGTCAACAACGCGGAAAGGAGCTAGAAACCCGAAGAGCACTCTGATGTCAGACCCGGATTGTAGAAGTTGGAGTCTGACCTGCTGCGTTTCCAGTCTTGCTTTGGCCCAGTATTTTCTCCCTGTACACCTTTCCTCCCTTTTGGGATAGCAGCGTGCACTCTGTACCACTGTCTATGGGAAATCTGTAATCTGTGTTTTGATTCCGATTTTACTGGGGTTTACAGTTAAGAGATTGCCCTGAGTCACAAAAAAGTTCGGAATTGTATATAATGTGTTGAGACTGTGGTAGACTATGTTGACTTTTAAAGTTGGACTAAATACATATGTCATACGATATGGCTAAATACATATGGTAAATACATATGCAGTCTGATATGGCTACAATCGTATGGGGGGGGCAGGGAGTGGAATGTGGACATCTAAATAAGAATGACCCTCTTAAGCTCAAATATTTGAAAGCTTGGTCACTTGGAAGTAGCACTATTTGAAAGGATTAGAAGTTATGGTTTTGTTGGAGTATGTATGGCTTTGTTGGAGGAAGTGTCACTAGGGGTAGGCTTTGAGATTTCAAAAGCCTGTGATAGGCCCAGTCTCTTCTGCTTTTGGTTCAGGGTGTAGAAGTCTCAACTACTTCTCCAGCCCCAGGCCTGCCTGTCTGCCTGCATCATGCTCCCTGCCATGATGATAACGGACTAGGCCTCTGGAACTGTAAGCCAGCCCCTAATTAAGTACTTTCCTTTAAAGAGTTGCCTTGGTCATGGTGTCTCTTCACAGCAAGAGAACACTGAAAGCAATAGAACTCTGAGACGTTAGCACACGCCTTTAATCCCAGCACTTGGGAAGCAGAAGCAGGTAGGAGTTTGAGGCCAGCCTGACCTACAGAGTGAGCTTCAGGAAGGATGGTCAGCGCTACACAGAGAACTCTGTCTCAAAAAACTAAAAATCAAACAAAAGCAAAACACACAAAAGCAATGAGTAAGAGCACACATCAATTCCGATTAGTGTCCTGAAGACTGAGATGAGTCCAGCTCACTTTTGAGGTAACAGCAAATGCCCAAGAAGAATGCTGTGGTACATCTTTAAAACGTGAGTCTGTACTGAGCACAGTGCCACCTCAGTGGATTCCTGTGTCCCCTCCTCAGCCCCCATCAGCTTGTGCCCACAGGCTTGTGCTGCATTCTGTTTAGTGTATTCAGTATTGGTGTCTCTGTATGTAGCTTTTGAGCTAACTCAGATCAGGTTTCGCTTTAACTTGGCTACTTAGGTCCCAAATAACTTGTAGGGCTTCTTTCCAAATGCTGCCTTGATCAGTCCCGGAAAGTAAAACAGGAGCTTGTGTGTGTTTCCCATGACTGTCTCTTATGAAGCATGGCACCGGATTCTTGCACACCGGTCTTAACAGCAGAAGCTATCCGTGACTGCCCATGTTAGATCTCTAATCTCACCCCTTAATTCTACAGGATCCATCTCCGTTGACTCTGAACAGCAAACCAATGCACTGTTTTTACTTCACAGGGTTTGCAGAACCATTTGAAGAAGTGTGGTGGGAAATATGATCAGATTCTGGCGTTCCGGCCCACAGGATGGACACACTCTAACAACATAACTAGCATAGCAGATATTACTCCCCAGACAAAAGGGAATATATCAATATATGGTAAAGTTATTCAGGTTGCCCATCTTTTCAGTAATTTCTCCTTTCTATTACATCTATTTGTGTGCCTCTACCACGTGTAGATGTGGAGGTCAGAGGTCAACCTGAAGGAGTCAGTTCTCTCCTCCTGCGGTGTGGGTCCCAGGGCTGACACTTGGTCATCAGGTGTGGTAATGAGTATCCTGTCCACTGACCCATCTCTCTGGCCTGGAGCTTCTCGCTTCTCCCTTGGAATGAACTTGGAATGCTTGTCTTACTTAAAGGAGAGAGAGAGAGAGAGAGAGAGAGAGAGAGAGAGAGAGAGAGAGAGAGAGAGAGAGAGAGA